GATAACACAATTTTTGTCACGCAAAAAAAAAAAAAAAAAAAAAAAAAAAAAAAAAAACCACGGGTGTAATTCCTGTACGAAAAGTTAATCAATAGCTTTTTGTACTCAAAACTTCCAGGGGAAACTGTCGTGTCTGCTCTGTTAATTATCATGGACTTTTTGCAGTTTTTTCCCCCCACTGTAGACGGCAGACAAACCCATTTGTCTTGCATGAAAACAACTGAGGAAAGACAGCCTGATGAATAGACATAGTTAAACCAGAACCCACAGGAAGCCATGTGTGGACTGCGATAACTTCCAAATTAAAAGTCCCACCTGTTCAAAGATCAAACGATAAGCACAGGGCCCTGTGTTTTTACCTGATCAATCGGCAGCTCCACCTTCAGCCGGAGCTCCTCCTGCACCTCCGCCGCTCCTGCCACCTCATGCCTTTTGTTGGGTGCATCGAACACGCTGCCCTCTGAGGAAAGTGATTAATAACAATTACCTCATCTGCTGGCAGGAGCCATCTCAGTCTTTTTGCCCTTTTCCCTCACTGCACTTCTGTCCTGCTCAACTCCAGAGGGGATCAATGTTGCCTTCCGTCTATTTGTTTTGTTCGTTTGTTGGAACGGTTCCACAAGCACAAAAGTCACTCCACAAATACATCCCACTGACATGAGGTTGAACTCCAGGGTGCGCTCTGGACAGTGACAGGTTGTTCTTCAAACCTGGAGAATAGTGTGTCATGGCAATGCCAAAGGGTTTCTTTCAAACTCCCTTTGGTTTCCTGTTACTGGATGTGTAACACACTGGAGTGTGAGTAATGAAACACACTATTGAGCCTGAATCTCTTTCTGTAGCTCGAGACGTTTGCCTCCAAAGAAGCAATCAGTGACACGGCACAGGAACAAAATAAAGGAAACACGTGGTTTCTGTGGTGTAGCTCCAAAAACACATTATTCCACTTGGGCTGGTTATTGAGGAAATCCAAGTAAACCGGTTGAACAAAAGCAAACACAACACCATCAACTGACCACGGCACACAGAAGCTCAAAGACTGAGCTCAAAAGGAGACAGGTGGAACTGATGAGACACAGGTGGAGCAAGTTGGGGTGGAGCTGACAATCAATGAGGAAGAGGAACAGCACCAGGACAGGAAGTACGTGTAAGAAGAGGGCAAGGGAAATCAGGTTCAAAATAAAAGCATAGAGCGTTGGTCAAAAAAATAAACTTCTGTGGAGGCATAAGGTGCAGTGTTAAATATTGAAGAAGAATTATTAATTGGCACTGTCATTTATATTTTTAGGAAGCAAATTTTAGGAGCAGAAAAATGATAAATATATGAATACTTTAAGGAGTCTTAAACACCTGACTTGATTTTATCTTGAAATTCCGTCTGCTCATCTTGTATTTAATTAAAACTTCTCTCTCATTAATTAAACTTAATTCTCTCAAATTTAGGACACAGTGCCTCTTAATTTAATCTCATTAATTAAACTTAATTCTCTTAATTTAGGACACAGTGCCTCTTAATTTATCTCAGCCTCAACCTGCAATTGAAAAAAAAAAAAAAAAGACGCCTTGAGCCTTCACTCTACTGTAGTCACATATTGATCCAGCTCAATATTTATATATTTATGTAACGACTGTACTCTGTACACACACCGCATGCTGCTTATCTGTTACACTACATTTGTCATGCTCAGACAACAAAAGGAAACAAAAAAAAAAAAAAACACGGGTGTAATTCCTGTACGAAAAGTTAATCAATAGCTTTTTGTACTCAAAACTTCCAGGGGAAACTGTCGTGTCTGCTCTGTTAATTATCATGGACTTTTTGCAGTTTTTTCCCCCCACTGTAGACGGCAGACAAACCCATTTGTCTTGCATGAAAACAACTGAGGAAAGACAGCCTGATGAATAGACATAGTTAAACCAGAACCCACAGGAAGCCATGTGTGGACTGCGATAACTTCCAAATTAAAAGTCCCACCTGTTCAAAGATCAAACGATAAGCACAGGGCCCTGTGTTTTTACCTGATCAATCGGCAGCTCCACCTTCAGCCGGAGCTCCTCCTGCACCTCCGCCGCTCCTGCCACCTCATGCCTTTTGTTGGGTGCATCGAACACGCTGCCCTCTGAGGAAAGTGATTAATAACAATTACCTCATCTGCTGGCAGGAGCCATCTCAGTCTTTTTGCCCTTTTCCCTCACTGCACTTCTGTCCTGCTCAACTCCAGAGGGGATCAATGTTGCCTTCCGTCTATTTGTGTTGTTCGTTTGTTGGAACGGTTCCACAAGCACAAAAGTCACTCCACAAATACATCCCACTGACATGAAGTTGAACTCCAGGGTGCGCTCTGGACAGTGACAGGTTGTTCTTCAAACCTGGAGAATAGTGTGTCATGGCAATGCCAAAGGGTTTCTTTCAAACTCCCTTTGGTTTCCTGTTACTGGATGTGTAACACACTGGAGTGTGAGTAATGAAACACACTATTGAGCCTGAATCTCTTTCTGTAGCTCGAGACGTTTGCCTCCAAAGAAGCAATCAGTGACACGGCACAGGAACAAAATAAAGGAAACACGTGGTTTCTGTGGTGTAGCTCCAAAAACACATTATTCCACTTGGGCTGGTTATTGAGGAAATCCAAGTAAACCGGTTGAACAAAAGCAAACACAACACCATCAACTGACCACGGCACACAGAAGCTCAAAGACTGAGCTCAAAAGGAGACAGGTGGAACTGATGAGACACAGGTGGAGCAAGTTGGGGTGGAGCTGACAATCAATGAGGAAGAGGAACAGCACCAGGACAGGAAGTACGTGTAAGAAGAGGGCAAGGGAAATCAGGTTCAAAATAAAAGCATAGAGCGTTGGTCAAAAAAATAAACTTCTGTGGAGGCATAAGGTGCAGTGTTAAATATTGAAGAAGAATTATTAATTGGCACTGTCATTTATATTTTTAGGAAGCAAATTTTAGGAGCAGAAAAATGATAAATATATGAATACTTTAAGGAGTCTTAAACACCTGACTTGATTTTATCTTGAAATTCCGTCTGCTCATCTTGTATTTAATTAAAACTTCTCTCTCATTAATTAAACTTAATTCTCTCAAATTTAGGACACAGTGCCTCTTAATTTAATTTAATTTTTTCATGTCAATACTGTGAAGTCCGTTGAGGCAAAACATTGTTTTTAAGTAGCCTCTGGACAAAGAAAACTTGACTTGATCATTTTGACTTTGTCTTTTTCAACAATGTAATAAAATTCTGAAGTTCATATATATATAATGATTTGAATTTGCCAAGACATGTTTACAAATGTTAGTTTAATGCTCTTTTTAACGTGTCTTGTTTAGCTGATCATTTATTTTTATCCAATAAATTTCCCATTTTAATAATATATAAAATAATATTTAATAGATATGAAATACCTATTAAAGAACAAAGAAGACAGTAACTGGAGAAAAACACTTACTGCCAGACATCTATTAAAGAACAAAGAAGACTGGAGAAAAACACTTACTGCCAGACACTATAACCAAAAGTTCAGACAGGAAGAACTTGCAACAATATATGTGCATCGCCAAGAGCCAAGAGTTTATGATGAAAACATAATCAGTTTTGCTGATGCATGCACGCTCAGGTGTCTAAAAAGCTCCTTCCATCAAAAAACTGCATTTAGTATCTATACTAAATATATAAAAAACAACATCAAACATCAGCATAATCCAGACAAGACGACTGATAGCAACAGTAGTAAACATCGTGTTCATTTAAACACATAACGTTACGTTATTGGCGACGCACAATGAGTCTTTTAAGCTGAGTCAATGTTTCACCGAGCACAGATGGTTCAACAAATAACTATAAACAACAAACGGCTGAATAACTGAATAGAAGGCATAAAACCCCAGTTACGTCCTATTAATGAAAAACAGAGTATACCTTTCCTTAACGACCGCCGGATAAATGTTCCAACACATCACCGTTAAGGAGAAATTTGTCACTTTTATGATCTTTTCCCAGCGATATTTGTGATTAATAACTTATCACCATAATAATTTCCGCATCGGGCGAAAATTGGAGCAATCTGTTTCACCCCCACGCAGTTAGCGTTAGAGTTTTCCAGATTCATATTCTGGTGGAAAAATTGCCTGATTGAATTCCTCTTTGTTTTAAGCCCCCGTGATGTTGTTTGAAGTCTGGTTCTGTTTAATATTCACATAAAAATGTCTCTGTTTTTTTACTCACAGAACGAGAGGGAGAGACAGAGAGAGAGAGGGAGAGACAGAGAGAGAGAGAGGTGTGTTCTGTTTGGACAATAATTCAAAGGAGGATCCATCACTTACCAAATGGATTCTGTTTTATGTGTTTCTAATGCAAACCTGCACACATATATCTCCAATGGGACTTCAATCAAAACACACTCACTATATTTGTCTGAATAAAGTATAGTAGGAAGGAATCATAAGATAGGAAGCAGGAAGGAGACAAATGTACTAGGATTGCTCGGTTTACCCCCTGTGGAGATGTGGAGAACTGTACTTCTGGACACCTGCCTCGGTTGTTTGGTTCTCTCTCTCATGGCTGTGTGTTTCTTCATCTGGTTCCTGGCTGTGGGCTCACAGTGTACGCCAAAGCCTGTGTAAAGAAACTACAGGGACAAACCAAACAAAACAAACAACAACAAAAAAAAAACAAACAAAACAAACAACAACAAAAAAACACAGGTTGTGATCTAAGCCACTGAGTCCCAACCAAAATTGTGATATTTCCTGCAATCTTTTGTATTAGTTTGTCTGTGGCGCAGGGATGGTGGCAACAGATGGCTGTAAAACTAAGAGAGAAAGAGAGAAAGTCAGAGCTGTTGACAACGATATGTGTGTGTCTTTCTTCAATTCCTGCAAGGATATCGACATTATGTTCAACTAAACAGGACCAGGTTTGACAGAGTAATTACCATTTGGGTAGATTTTACCTAGAAGATCATTCTATTTTATTACATGTGTTTTTTGTTTGGTGGTGCATCATGGGATGTAAATTATGTGCTGTTGCTCAATAAATGTTGAGAAACAGTGGGACTTTGCATATATTCATGTTCTGTTTTATTCTGTGCGATACAGTGGGATTTTGCATATATTCATGTTCTGTTTTATTTTCAGTATAGATGCGTGAACAGCTCATTAGCTTTCCCATACAAAATTTTTGTATGTGAAAACCTTATGCAGACTTCCTTCAAACACACAAATATTAAAAATGCTGACAGAAGGTCAGCCTTTTTATTATTACTGTTGCTATGGAAACATGATTGCAAATTTTGAATATATTCCACCACATATTTGTGATGTCACCTCTCAGAGGGGAATACAACTCATACAATAGAGGCAAGTCCAGATGAGGTCCACATGTAGATGTGCGACAGTGCCACATATGCATCTTGTGGTTACACTGGGTACTACACATCTGCATCTGGACATTTCCTCGCAGAGAATTATTTTTCTTGTTGTCGTTCCAAATGGTTTAGCACAGCCCGTAGCTTAATGTTAAGAGGATTGCAATTGTTTTCAGAGGATTATAGGTATGAATCCCAGCAAAACTGAGCAAGCAGCAATCGCCTTGCTCCCACCCATCTCTGAAATCCATCACTGAGTTAAACACAGAGGGCAGTTTTGCTTATAGATGGGGTGATCAAGGGGTCACTACAACAGTAGTAGACCGGGTCTTTAGACACATTTTTCATGCTCTTCCTGGACAACCAAATCTGGGATTGGAGACTAAGTGGAATTAAACCGAAGCCCAGGAATTCTACCAATAAGGTCCCTGATCAGAAAAGCACTATGGAAAAAATTTGAGTTTTGAATTATGTCTTTTGACTTTACACCAAAACTCCAGAACACAGTTTATCATTTTTAAGTGGCCCACATTAAAAAAGCATTTGTGCAGGGTCAGTGCTATTCCTGAACCCAACAGCAGTAAAGTTACAGGAAGTTACTGCAGCCCAGTCAGTGTTGCTCAAAGCCCCAGTTCTACTGAATATTTCGGATGAATTTTGGATGAAAGGATGACTCTGTCACCCCTTTTCGACTTGTTTGTTCCATAAAAAGAAAAAACAAAGACAAAAGAAAACTGTGTAGCTAAACTTGTTCCTCTTCCTTTCAACGCAATTTTACCATTTCCGTTGACCTCAATTTTTCATGAGTTGATATGCTTTCTGGCTCCCCCATGACTCCTACTGTATTGAATTCATCTGGTTCCAATACATCTCGTGCACAACCTATCAATCACTGGGGAGCGTGGAAAACGAATCATTTATTGATGAAATGGGGCAGCCATGAATTTCTAACTGCATTTGTCTTATTTATCAAGCCAGATCAAACAATGAAAATCAAAACAAGCTTAAAGGGAAAGGGTTGGTGTTGTACGGAATAACTTATTCCTCCACGGTAGACGAGCAGGAGGTTATTGATAGAGAGAAGAAAACAGGTTTGGGACCGAGGTGTCGGAGAGAGAGTTCAGAGCGATGTTCAGGCAGCCAGGTACACATCTGAATTAATGCTTTCACAAAAAGGCAATTTTCTCCTCACGGACTCTTCGTCCACTCCGCAGGTACCAGGCTGGAGCATGTCTCCCTCACAGAGAATGAGAGACACAGATTCAGGGACGGGGTGAGGGCAGACTTAATGTTTCTTTTCAGCTACAGTGTTTTTAACTGCAGCTGCCTGACTTGATCCCTGGGCTGGCTCTGGGGGAGAGTGTAGTGATCTCAGACTTCCACCAGAATTCACTTCTGGCAATGGTGTTTGCAATCACTAACATGGAGTCTGGGGAATAGTTGCAGTGTTTCTTCCTTTATTTGCCTTCTTCAGAGCAGAGGCAACGTCTGTTGATGTTCTTTTGAATTTTCACAGCCATTAGTGGAACAAGGGGGAACATTAAAACAAGAAACAAGAAGTCTGCCTGAAGAAAAGCTACGATTGAGATCAGGATTGAGAGTCCACAACAACGCTGGACAAAGGGCCAGTGGGACAAGGACAGGTAGATAGGACGACTACAGTATATTTCAATAAGTTCAGTAAGGCCACATTGGAGCTAAAGCCGGGCAGTCAACAGACGAGGAAGTGGAGCGCACTGAACACTTTGTCAGTCCATCCCAGCACCATATAGACACATCCATTCACTGACATTCACACTCACGTTCACACCTATGTTATGTTTAAAGCATCCAATATTCCTAATCCATAATTTGCATATGTTTGGACTGCGGGGGGAAATAAAAAGAAACACCCATATCAGAGTTTAAACCAGTGATCAGGTACCTAGCCGCTACCGCTTGTTAGCCAACAAAAACATTAACTGAAATGCTTCACTGCTCTGAGTATTCTATATAGTCAGCGTCTTTACGTTGTTTTACAATGTGAGCTACATGCTATCCTCGGTGATTACGGTGTTATTTAGGAGCAGACGAGGATAATTTGGTCTTGAAGTGCGACCGAGCCGTTAGCCTCAGTCTTCGAGCTAATTCAAAGCAATTTCACAGTGCACTGAATCCTTATACAATAGGTCATCCATGTTCTCCGGAATCTCTAATGTGACTCTTTTTTTTAACTACTATTTCAGTTGTATTTCAAGTCTGCTTCATGTCAGGCTAACACACACACACACACAAATCAGGTTTTCTCTCACGCCTAAGGTTGATCTTTTATTTAGCGTCATAACCTCAAAGCCGAGAGCATGAGTGATACAGTATGAAGCAACTTCACACAACGGCCTATAATCAAAGAACCATCTGGAGAGACAACTTTTGAACAACTTTATGATGCTCACAGCCTGGTAGTAAGATGTAAACTGATTTGACTTAAATCAACAAAGTTGAATCACTGCTGTCTGACTCAGGGAGGGGGGGGGCAGAGGACGGGGGGAGTACAGCGCAATACAAGTAGCAGCACAAGTAGAAACAGAGCAGTGGAAAAAGCTGAGGTCATCTCTCCCCTTCATTCTACATGACATATCTACAGCACCGGTTCCCTGTGGGAGCGGACAGCGGTGTGTATCAGAGGGGCCCCAGAGAGAGAGACAGGGAGTGCCAGAGTTAGTGTGAAGGGGGCTCTGGGGGACGGAGCAGCAAGTAATCTGGAGCCCTCTCATGTGGCAGAGAACAGGAGTCAACAAGAGGACAGTGTGATATGATAGCTGAGGGAAAAGTGGGGTCCAGACCGAGTGGACCAACCAGCCTGCAGCTACCAGGGCTGTGCTATCAGCTGCAGCCACTCCCATGGCCTGGTCCTTGGTGAGCAGACACGCTGGCAGCACAGAGGAGTGGTATAGTTTTCCACGGGGCATAACTGCTCCCCCTAACCAATGAAATCATCCAGGAAAAGAACAGGGAAATGAGGAGGAGCAGCAGCAAATCACCGCTGATGTCAGAAAGTGCAGCTATTAAAGGTTTAATCAGACTTCCCAGGCTGTTTTCACAGGACGCTTGGTGTGAAGTACATTAGCAGCACAGTTGAACTGCTCATTATGATTACTGTAATATGAAAGCATTGCATTGATGCACACCATTATTCTCCTCTTTCCCCGTCTCCTTTGCATTCCGCTCTCCTCTATTAATCTCCTCTTTGAGCTACGTCTATCTCTGAGGTTTCTCCCTCATCATTTCCGTGAACACCTAACTCAGCACATATATATGCCTGCCATCCGGCGGGAACACCAGCTATAGGGGGAGCTTCAGAGCTGCACTCTGCAGAGCCATCGGTTCAGAATTCACCGGTTGCTCCAGACCAGATGTCCCGTTCTGCACCGCAGTCACACACAGGATACGACAGACACACATTTAACACAGCCTCCCTGAGAATGTTGAAAGATTACAAGTGTTTCACAGCAGAATGCCTTTGTTTTGTAAGGTCAAAGTCAAATTAATGACAGGCATGACCCTGTAAAGGGATGTATAATCAGCGAGTTAAACAGCACACAGATCTACAAAGATACTTCTACATTTGTCAAATGCATTTTCCACCTTTTGACTGCGCCCTATTAACTGGTCAACTCGTGTTTACAAATTCATGAGGGATCAGAGCAGAAGGCACGGGGAGTAAAAGGCAGTGGCGTCATCTCTAGTGAATAACTAATATTACCATGAGGCTGGAGGAGGAGGCAAAACACATAGCCCTGTCTCTGTCTCCACCTAACGGCGCTGCTGGGAATAGCACCACCTATGACCAGGCTCAGATACAGGAAGAAGAGGACATACTGTAGCTTGGCTGAGCAAAGTTTTATGTACGTATACCAGTCTGACTTTCACCACTTGTTTCAACCAATTTAATTGTTTTTCTATATGCAATGTTGGTTTACAACACATACAGGTGGAAGTGAGATTAGGGATATTTTTCACCATCTGAAGAAATTGACGTCTACCACAGCATTGTCATCTTTCATGGTTAGAAGAATCTGTTGTCAGACACATCTGTCACAAGGGGGCCCCGTCTCTGCAGCAACCTGCTGAGTTGGCTTGTTCTCATCTTCACAGCACTCGTGCCACAGCAGTGAAATCCTCACATGGATTCAAAGCATTTCGCTGCACGCTTAATGACAATACAAATCGTCCCAGTTCTGGTTTGAATATTTTTTTTGTTTTCATTTAGTGAGGTCCCCTCCGTGCATATGATCTGTCTACGAGGCTCGCTGCACTTGATCAAGTGGGCCAGTGTGTCTCCGTGGGGATTACCCATCAAAGTGAAAAGCAACGGTAACTCAATGCCTCCTGCAGACAGTGATTGATGATGGCGCTGTTTCATAACGAATTACACCCCCACGACAAGCCCCACACATGGGAGACGTTAATTGAAATGCTGTGTGTGCAAAGACGTTCTCTGCCTCTGTGATGCTACTGGGCGGTTGAAACACTAAAGCATGGCAAAGAGAAATATATCTATACACAGTATATATGTAAGGATATCACAACCACACGGTCAACTGTGCACTAACTGTACTCACTGTATCATTTGCATGTCTTGTCTTTGGAATAGGGGGCAGGATGTCCCGGCTGAGGAAAGGGAAACAAGACATTTAACATACATTTCTGGGAATTCGGTGTAAGGTGTGTTCGTGACAATGACGAATGTCCGATACCTTTGAAACGTCCTGCTGTCGGAGATCGAAAACCCGGGAATGCACAGGTCGTACGGGAGCACTTTGAATCTTTCTGCCCCGACCGCAACATAGTGACGGTTGTTCTCCAGCTCCGTGGAACTGCAGACGGGACGTCCGTCTAATGTGCAAAGTCTGAGGAAATAAAGTATCTCGAGCTCACGTGTCATATTCTGCATGTTATATACACAGTATCGTTCGGTGTCTCCGTGATATTCATGTCGTCTAAAGTGAAGTCATCATATTTCTGTGATATTCATCACAGTAATGTTTGCTAATCAAGCATCTTTGGATTAATTCCACTGAGCACATCATCCCTACATGGTGACGACTGCTAATTAATTAGAAGGAATCCATCCACTCTGCTAAATGTACCGAGCCTGACTGGAAAGCTTCCACTTATCCTGTTTACTGTCGTCTGTATTAGACGAACCGTCTGCCCAAAGATAAACCGCAGTGATTCAACAAAGATACTGAAAGTCGTTATTTGTGCCTGTACAAGTAGAAAAAAAAAAGTTTGGCTTACATTGAGTTTGTTGCAGTGACTGAGGGGTCTACGGAATCAGTACTACAGAAGTACTACAGATCACCTCTTTGCTTCCAATGAAGGTTTGAACCTTACCTGTGTACGGCACCAGTACGAAGACGCACTTTCTCCGTCACCATGGCCAAAACGTTCTCCCAGTTTTTCAGCGTGTATTTGGGGATCCGGATTCGTGCTGGAGGCGTCAAGAGTTCCCCATTGGTGAGAACACTATAAAACAACTAGATGTCAGGGGATGTTACAGCTAAAAAAAACCTGCAGTAAGTTGCCCTAAAATATGTGGACGTTACACGTCTTTCTTTTTAAATATTTTCATTAGTATCGATACTTTATGAGAGTATCTATACTTATTCGATATCAATATATCGATGCCTCGGAATCGATATTCCCTTCAATACTGGGCCACAAATTCAAAATGTAATAATTAATTAGTTTCCCTGCAATAGCTCCCACGCCCCTTATTTTGGGACCCACTGTTTGAATGCATGTACTCACTTTATCATGCAGGTCTCATCGTTAGATTTCTTCCAGCGAGCTGACACAACTATCCTGCTGTGTACGACAGGATGGATCTGGATAAAAGACATAAGAAAATGTGATTTTTGTTGTTGTTGTATTTAAAACTTTTTATGACTTTGTAAAACTTTACGTTAAATAGTGTACTGTTACCTGTTCTTTCCTCTTATTCTGTGGCCTCTTGGTCGTTATGTCAAAGTAGCTGAAACATCACGAACATCCATTCAACTTATAGTCATTCAAAGCCATCAGTTTGTCTGCACAGTGTGAAACTGGAGAAGAGTTTCAGATCCACAGAGACTGCAATGTTTTGTAACAGCACCACCCAGAGGTGTAGTTTTACCTTTTCATCTTTCATAACAATAGTTTTAACATAGTGTTTGTTTGAAAGATTAAGAGTTCAAAATTTGTTTCCACAAATATTAAATATGCCATCTCCCACTGTGCCAAATCATTAATTTGACACCATGCAAATTAAAAAAAGAAGATCTGAAGACTGAATTTTATGGCTACATTTTCCAAGAGCTGCAAAACACAAACAAAAAAATCCAAAATAATCGACCGATTATATGAAAGCAGTATTGCAGCATATACTTTTTTGAGTATTAGATTTTTGTAGTGTTTTGTAGTGGAAAAATTACTGAAAATTTGGTGGGTTCAGAGACCATTCTGGAAAAATGTGACTGACTTTATGAAGGTCCATCATTTTCCTATAGATTACATTTTCTAAGCAATCTTTCTCCCTATACTTTATATACAAACCCACCAATCAGCACCTGGCTGTAAAGTTTGAACTTACTCCAGTTTCTTAAAGTGCTCATTTCCAGCTGCCACATACGCACCGCCGTGCTTCAACTCCTCCAAGCAGCAAACCTTGCGGCCCTGATGAGGGGTGTAAAGCTTCCTGACGGCACCAAACGGAGCTCCTATCGCTTTAGTCAGAGAGGTCAAGAAAGTGTCAAAGGTCAACACATGCCGTGGGTTCACCACCACTTTCCTTCCGGGGAAAAAAGCATCTCCGTTCCTGTAGACGGTGATGGTTTTGGTCTGCGGCAGGTCACAGCTGTCCTGTGTGGACGGCATATTCAACAGGAAAAAAAGAGTCGTTGCAGTAGAAGTAACGGAGTTTGTTAGTTAGTGCCAGTTGTCCTCGCTCAGCAAACACGTAACTGGAACATATGATATGGCAAGCCACTTTGTCCACGTGGGGGGCTGCAGCGTCATGAAACCTAACCACCCACTGTTGTTGTTGTTTACTTGCTCTTTCCTTTTGTGTGTTGCTACTGTAATGAGGTGTTTGATTCCAAAACCGGAGGCAAGCAGCCAGCAGAAGAAATAACAGGTTATTTATTCATGAGAACTAGTCACCTTAACAGGAACTGCACAGTACACGAGGAGCCAGGACAGGCAGAGGAGGCGAACCACTGAACTGAAGACCGGGCTGAGGAAGTTTCAGCTTTTTGTGAAGAAAAACCTAGAATTTCAAATATTCTGGTAAAACTGGTGCAAACGAAATATTTGGGACTTTGTGTACAGAAGTAATACTTTTTCTTTACTGCGATTAAAGGTAGCTTTATGACTATTATAGTGTTAACAATGGTTTAGACTATGAGGCAGAAGACATTGGTCACATACAGTACATTATCTATTAAAAACTGGATATAAATATATCTAAAATGCGACTATATATGAATATATTTACACACACATATATAAGTATGTGCACATATATATAGATATACACATATACATTATAAATATACATCTATATATTTAGATGTGTGTATATATATTGTTTATGTGTTTTTATGTGTGCTTGCATATACTGTATATATATATATATATACACATAAATATATCTTCTTCTTTTTCTTTCGGCTTTGTCCCTTTTTCAGGGGTTGCCACAGCAAATCATTGATTTCCATCTCTCCCTGTTCTCTGTAGCTTCTACTCTGACTCCAACTATCTGCATGTCCTCCCTCACTGCATCCATATATCTCCTCTTTGAGCTTCCTCTCTTTCTCCTCCCTGGTAGCTCCATCTCTAACATTCTTCTACCAATGTATCCACTGTCCCTCCTCTGCACATGTCCAAACCATCTCAATCTGGCTTCTCTAGCTTTTTCTCCAAACCTTCCTGTCTGTGTTGTCCCTCTAATGACCTCATTCCTGATCCCGTCCATTCTTGTCACTCCTAAAGAGAATCTTAGCATCTTTAACTCTGCCACCTCCAGCTCTGCCTCCTGTCTTCTGCCTATTGCTACTGTCTCTAAACCATACATCATGGCTGGGCTCACCACTGTCCTGTAAACTTTTCCCTTCACCTTAGCCGACACTCTTCTGTCACAGATCACTCCTCTCCTGACACATACACATAAATATATAAATATATAAATACATACATACACATACTAGTATTAATTGCATTATCCAGCAAAGAACCCTCTAAATTTTTATACGTAACACTCCACTATGGTGGAGCATTGGCCCAGAGACTGTGTCTCTGTCATTGGTGTGGAACCCCAGGGTTCACCTCCTGGACAAGATCAAATCCCGGTCAGGGCGGTTGGTACCTTCCAGTGGACTCACCACCCGCACGAAGGTTCACCACTGGCTGGTACGGTGCAGTGTGATTTGGGTGGTGGTCATGGAGACTGCTGCCCCCGCGACCTGGTAACGGATAAGCAGACGAAAATGGATGGATGAATGGATGGAACACTCTTATAGGCCACGACCCAGAAATTGAGAAACGCAGCAACACAATTTTAAGGTAATATTGTCAGCACTACCTCTCTTAGCTCGCTACTTTTCATATAATTCACAAGAAAATTGTAGTTTACAGACATTGTTGTTTGCATCAATATGCCTTGAAAGTACACGTACCATCTGTCCTTTTAATGTCCCGCAATCATCAATATGCCTACCATCTGTCCTTTTAATGTCCCGCAAACCAGCGTGCCATTACAAAGGACTACCGTCACTACTGCCTACACAGATCATACGTTGTCATTTCCCCAGAGCTCAGCCTGAAACATGAGTACTACTGTGATACTTCCATGGTGAACACACTTGCTGATATCAAACACAGTTGTGTTTCCTGGTTTTTTCCGCACCACGTCTCCATATCTCCCTCTCGCAGGCGTTTTCTTTTCTCTCACAGATAATCTGCCAGTCCAGTGTTGGATGGAGTTTGGTGGATTGTTCACCACAGAGGTAACCAGAGATTGCAGCAACAATGGCACCTAATTGGTTTAGGCCAGACACTCCTGGTCAATTAAATGCATAATTCATCTAAGCATTAATTATTCATTTCATGAGGGACCAGTTCTGTATTTTATTAGAGGAACTGCATCATGCATATTCAGATTGTTCTTCTTAGAGGGGTGCAGTATTATCTCAGTAGGTGCCCATCCCCAAAAACAATAGCAGCCAAGGCTGCCAGACAACTTCTATTAATCAGGCGGCTGAACCGAGGAGGATTTTCAAAGAAGAAAATGTCACAGCGACCTGTGGTGTGTAATGTCTTGTTTTTGTCATGAGGCATTGTGCTGTCAAACAATTACCAACTGTAATTAATTCATTCATAATTACTGTCCAAGTTTGGCCAAGATGATGATGCCATTTATAGAATAATCAGAGTTTGGTATATTTTTGGTTCTAAAGGAAACATGAATGCATAAACAAATGACCAAGAATAAATGTATATATTATATACGTATTTTACACAAATATAAAATGTATTTATATACTGTATTTACATATTTGTATATTTTTACACACATACAAATATATACTGTATTTACATATTTGTATATATGTCATTGTTCCACATTTCTACTAGTACCATAAAAAAACCAAACCATGATGTATATATGGATATATACACATATTGTTTATACATATATAAATACATATATAAATAAAAATAAACATATATATGTTTATATATTGTGGTTCTAAAACACATGGGGTACACATTTTCTTTTATCAACATATATACATATATTACACTACATATACATACTATATATGTATGTATATATTCACGTTGTAATTTGATGTTTAATAAAAAATATTTTTAAGTAAATATAGTTTTTGTTTGATATAAAACCTACAGATACAGTATAACCACCCAAGTTTAAATGAATTTAGAAAAAAAGGTTAAATTCATTTGTAAAAGAACTAGTTAAGAGCAAAATTAAATTATCGGGTGTGTGCGTGGTTTACTGGGCCGGAATTGGCCGCCCGAGCCAGGAGTTTGAAATTGCCGACATAGCTGATCTGGGCAACAACAAAGTAGAAGCCACATTAAGGTGCTGGTAATTTGGCTCTCACTGGTTCTCATACCAGAATTTGAGCCACGGCTTTATTTCCGTGACGTCCGACCATTTATAACGTGTGTGGTAGGAGAGAGATGTCTCCTGCGTCTTGTCAAGAACGGGATCCGGCAGAAGGCGTGAGTTTGTTTTGATACTTTGAAAGGTCAGTGCCATCCATTCATAAAGATCAACCTTTCAGTCAGTCTGTCATCACCACTGGACAGGTCAGCAGTTGTGTCCAGGAACGTTGTAATGTTTGAAAAGGGGAATGCACAAGTGTTTGGATGTGAGGTCACATAGAAACGATGACCAGAGTCCAGAAGGAAGAATCTGGAATGGCCGTATCTCTGTGTGTGACAGTTCACCTTTGAAAGAACGCCTCGGGATGAAGATGAAGACATTTTTTAATTAGACTGATCAGGATGGAGGGGATTAGAAGTTGAATAATTGAATAGAAGTAGCACAAAAGAAGATCACTGCTCTCACTGTATAGAGTTTGCATGTTCTCCCAGTGGGAGTGGGTTCTCCACAGGTTCTCTAGTTTCCTTCCACAGCCTAAAACCATTGTTCATTAGGGGATTAGCTCCATCTGATCATCTACACTGATTAATGGTGTGAATGTGAGCGTGAATAGTTGTTGTGTTTCTATACGTGGCCCTGAGATGGAACGTCGAACTGTCCGGGTGTACACTGACCATGATCATGTACAGCGCACCCGTGTGGCCCTGCGAAGAATTACGCTGTAGGGAATGTATAGATGATGTTGAAATTGAGCTGCTGGGCAGAAAAAAAAAACGTTTTAAATTAAAGATGCACTTTTACTTCTTTAATGGTAAGGATTTCATATACAAGCGTAAAATAATTTACATAACTTTGAAAAATACAATATATTGTATGTTTATCTCACAGATTACAGGCAACTAAATCCCCAAATATATATTTTTTTATTCATATCAAACAAACAATTCTCTAAAATATGATTAATATACGATTTGGCAGAGGGTGGACGACACATACCCTCGGTCCAGAGTACTGCAGTATAATACAGGGGTACTACCACTTTTTAAGTTCATTACTCTGCAGTATAATACAGAGGTACTACCACTTTTTAAGTTCATTACTTTGTTTTTTGGGTAATACTCCAAACTCATGGCTAGTGGTCCACATCTGGTCCATGAAACCCTCACCTCTGGCCTGTGACTAGGAATGAATAATAATTTATTTTTGCTCTAATTCTGAAATTTTAGATTTTTTTAATTTATTTTCTTTATCATTAAAATGCTTTACTTGGTTATTTAAGAATTTTTATTTTTTTTTACAGAGCCTATATTTAACAAAAAAATTGTTTCTTTCAATATCTTCTTTTTTGTTTTGAACATTGGTATTTAACAGCCTTAACAGTGTCGTGACCCTGACAGTGGCAGCAGAGACCCTCAGCTCATTAGAGTCTGAGACTCCTGCCCTAAAACTACAGGATTCAGCAGAAACATATGGCTTTGCTCAACATTCATCATTTTGTGTTTATATGTACAGACTGTGTCAGCTACGACTGTAGGGGGAAGTGGGGACACTTGGGACTCAGACGCTGTCCTTATCAAATTCACAGACAAAGTACATGGTGGGATGACAGGCCACATCTGTCCACTCTCCAGAGGACAACATCTCGGCACAGTCCTCATCATCGTAGGCATCGTTGGGCTCTCCTTTCCTCCATCTGCTGAAGGTCGTCATCGGAGACTGATCCACGTAGATGAACACACCCTCCTGGTCCAGGTCGTGGATGCCTATATAGACGCGGCTCAGACCCGCCGCCGTTATGTAGCCGGCGATGGCGGCATTGGCTCCCTCGTCCTTGGGCATGGCCAGGTGCCCTCCCCTCGTCTGACAGTGGAGCTCAGCATCAAAGTAGCGTTTCTCCTCCTTCACCAACAGATAGACTTTACTCTCTGTCTCTTTAATGCCAGCAACAGCTGCAGGGGAGGGCAGTGCTGAAAAATGAGCACTTGGATTTCTAAAAATTTCACATTGACATGCCCAGTGTTCGCACTTCTAGGAGCGTTAGGAGTAAAATGAAGCAGGATTGTGTCGCGGCATATGTTTACAGTGAGAGAGAGAAAAAAAAAAAGTAGGAATCATGTGATCATACCATTTTTAATGAACTTCAGTTCAGACGACAGCTGGGCCACCATGATGTCCATCTCTCCAATCATGTTCCTGATGGGGGTGCACTCACAGGGGACACCTGTTGAAGCCACACCACCGCTTCTCTGTCATTATTTCAGCTCAGATCTCACCAAATGTGACATTTGTGACTTCAGTGACATGTTATTTCACCTGGCTCTCCATCTGGGCCCTGTGGACCTGGGTCTCCCATTTCACCTTTAACACCTGAGATATGAAATAAAATTTTAAAAATAACAACAGTAAATTTGCTGGGAAAACAATTCCCTGAGAAGCACGGCAGCAACGCCGCTCTGTGTTTGGAATAACCTTTCATTCCACTCGGACCCACTTTTCCGTAACGTCCCATGATTCCTTTTTCCCCTTTAAATCCTGTTTGACCTGGGGGAAAAAAAGTCAGACGTCAGAACTTTATTTAAACATATAAAAATATATATTTTATAAAGAAATTTTAAAATGAATACTTTAATAATACTTGTGTCTTTAGTGGCTAGCTTAAATTTACCTGCCAGACAAGGGGAACTGGGGGTGGTAGAGGGGTTTCAGCAGGTGAAGAGATTGTTGTCTTACAATAAAATAACATAGACAATAAAAAATGTATTATTTCTGTGAGGCTCACTACCAAGCGATCCACAGCCCAATATTGGTCCCCGACCCGGAGGTTGGGGACCTCTGCAGTACGGTATGTAATTATAATGATGGGTCTGTGTTATCTCTCTGTGACAGCACCCTTCACTCCTCATTAAGGTCTTCAGTAAACACTTGTCCTTCTTTCTGTAAGCTCTCTCTCCCCTCTGACCTCTGACCCTCTGATGTAAACACTCGGACATGTCTGTGTGGTCTGTTAGTGATGTAACATCACTTTATCAGTCCTGGCTATGTGATCCTTAACCCACTTCTTCTTCTTCTTTTTTTATTGTAAGGACTGGTGTTTATGGTCGAACATTTCCCTCCAGCTCTGACAAACAGGATGTTCCATCTGCCTTTGTTGTAAGAGCAGAAAATATACCCATCTGTCCAGGAGGTCCAACTCGTCCTGGTCTCCCCGGTGCTCCTTTTTGTCCTTTGTCTCCTGGTTCTCCTGTTTTTCCCAGTAAAGCGAGACAGCGTGAATGTAGACCAGGACATCTGTTTCCTTTTTGTTCTCCTCGTCTCGTGTGTGTAGAGCACCGCTTACCTTTGAGTCCAGGGACGAGGATCTGAACAGTGCACGGCTCGTCTGCCAAGTTGTGTCCATGAGACGTCTGTATTGTTGAGAAACTCAGCATCACAGACATTAGCACCACAGGGAGCAACAGCTTTTGGCCTCTCATTCTTCTACATGGGGCAGATAATGGGCTGTACTGAGAGAAATGAAATTGGCATGATTCACAATGGGGCTAATAACAACAATCACACTAATTGTAGATTTGACCAAAAACAGCAGTATATTATTACACAACATACAATAGAATGAGGCTTAAAATATTTTGTATGCATTAGTAAATTCTTGATTGAAATACTTTTTCTTCAAACTTTTCCTGATAAAGCTGACTAATGTCGAAGTTCATAATAAAACATTCTCACGATTTAAACTTAATTACATGTAAATTACTACAAAAAGCAAAAATAACAATATAAATAAAATCCCATTTGTGACGACTGTACCAACAGAAACACCATATTAAGATGTATATCAAATAATTCTAGAGGAGAATCAAGCAGGAATTTAAAATAATAACCAACAGTGAAAGTAAGGACAGGAACGACGTACCTGCAGAGAAACGTTCCAGAGCGAAAGGGAGAAAGTTTTGTCAGCTCGCAAAGACGTGCAGGAGCTTTGAACAGTGCTGCTCCCGCAGACACATTTCACGACTCTCTGCCGGCGCTGCAGAATGTGTGTGATAGCACTTTCATAAACATTTTGCAGATAAAGTCCAAAGCAGCTGAGCCTCTGCAGATAATTGGCTGGGAAAACAGTCCAGTGATTGACAGTGGAGGAACCAGATAAATACAGCAGCATAACTTCAAAGTCTGCCAAATATCTGGAGTGGTAATTTATTTATTTATTTATTTATTTTGACAGAATTAAACGTCTCTTTGCTGCTGCGTGTTTTACTGCTTCATTTGTAGGCTTGTTATGAGGTTGTTGATCCTGTTTAATTTCTGCATGTGAGATATAAACTGTATTAATAGGACTTGGTAGATTTATATGAGTCAGTGCATTGCAATTTGAAGTAATTATATATATATTATATTTGCAAACTCCTTTTTTATAAAACTTAATAAATTAAAGCCACTATTTAAGTTATTTAAGAACATTGACATATTGTGTAACAATCAACTTCACTTAATTATATCTTAACATTTTTACATTGTCTGCTTTCTAAGAACTAAGCATGCAGTCTTGAATTTCTCAAGTAGATGTGCTTAACTCTTGTAAAGCCGCTGGGTGGCGACATTGTCCGTGAACATTGTCTGCTTTCTAAGAATGCAGTCTTGAATTTCTCAGGTAGATATGCTTAACTCTTGTAGAGCCGCTGGGTGGCGACATTGTCCGTGAAACATAATTTCGATTTAGGAAACCGATTTTTAAGAGTTCAAGAATATTTCTTTATAATTAAAATTATAGTTATTATTTTGTTATTTGGTTGACCATTTAGTACCATGAAGTTTTCATTTTCTGGTATAGTCTTATTATTTATGAGACTCTAAATTTAACTAAAAACAAATAGTATATTACAGTATTTTTTTGTCTGAAATAGTCACGTTAGTTTGCTATTTAGTGTTATAAAACATATATAATTATCAATCTTGTGCCCGTATTTTCCTAATTTTTCCCACGTATTACGTGACATAGAATGTTTACTTGTAAACGTAGATATTTTGTTATGCTAACATTATTACCTGCTAGTGTCAGGTATATAGATACGGTCCAGTAGAGGAGTATTAGGTATCCTAATTAGATTTACAAACGCATTGGCCGCTTTCAATAGTGGATTGAGTGTCTCCTTCAAAAATGCCCCCCAAACGGTTTAGGTTTCCTGCTTCTTATTTATTAATGACTCAAGGCAACATTTGCTGTCTTTTTAGGAGGGGTCAGTGAAGTGTATTAAGATATGCAGCAATATTACAATTAATCCGTGTATAAATTTAGGAAAATTGAATGTTACACTTAAAGGAGCGCATTTTAACAATGCTTTAAAAAAAGAAAAGCAAAAGTATTGAGTTGAGTGTTGCTTTCAATTTGGCATTCAAGTCACATCTTTTCTCTCGTTACATATAATTTTCACTGCAACCTAACATATCCTACTTTATTTGTTCATACAGTCCTAACTCTAAAAAAAAAATATACGTTTTAGTGGTTTTTTTAAATTATTATTATTAGCTAATTCTATATACGTTTTAGGGTTTTTTTTATTATTAGCTAATGTTTCATTGTGGCGGTTTGACATACCTGAGTTAGGATTTTACGAGCTGCACGTCAATGCACCTTCAGCAGACGCCGTCCCAAGTGACGTCAGCATCGCTCACCGGCGACTAGAGTACCTCCTGTCTTCCAGACCGCCTGCTGCTTCTCCCTCCTGTCCCTCCCGAGTTTTATCGTCTTGCTCGGGACGTAAACCTAGAAAAAACAGAGTAAAAAGTTGGACTTAAACTTTAAACTTCCATCTGTATGAAGGAGTTACAGCCTGACATCATCTCCTGGCTCTAACTTCTCCTTCACTGGAGGACACGAGTGCCTGCTTTTGGCCAAAGTTTTCCACTTTGCAGTGACAGTAACTTCAGGTATGTTTTTATTATGTTAAAAGTAATATAAACTTAAAATAAGGATAAGTGTCTGAACCTAATGTGTTTGTTATTTTTGAAATAGTTTTATTATTTTTAACTTAAACATGCTTTTGTGGCTTCCCTGTTTATTACAGTACATATAGCTCATTTATTTGAATTAATTCTGTTATTTTATTGACACCTCTATATTTATTTTTTTATAAATATATGTCCTAGAAACTGCAGTGAGTTTAAAACAATTGAACTTGCATGTTCTTGCTGATATCTGTGGTTTCCTTTTTATATTTAGATATTATATTCTGAATTTTGAGTTTTAATTGAAGTAGGTTTATAATTTGTACAAAAGTTAAAAAAAAGAAAAATACACAGATGTTGGTCAACAATCAATCT